ATTCTTCATTCAGAGACTCAGAGATTTTAGTAAGTACATAAATACTGCTTTATACAATTCCTGTTATAGATTTCCTTAAATATATGCTCTGATTACTAAATCTGTTCAAGGAAGCCACCAATTTTACTCACTATTGAGGTTCACAATGGAACCCAGGTATAGTGACACACGTCTCTACCTGGGAAGACGAGACAGTAAGATCTTGGGTTCTAGGATTGCCAAAACAACATGGAACCCCTTTCTCAAAATACAAGCTACCAAACAACCAAACAAGAAGAAAAAATTCAAAGTAACAAAATAAGAGATTTACAATGGTTCATTATAAAACTGGAAAATATTGTACCTAAAAGCCTTTTCTAATTGTTTAACCAGTGTTTTCTCGTATTAGTAGACATAAAATTGCTTTTGAACATTCAAAATGTGGAAGAACCTTTTGGGGGAAGGTTTTCTCAAAGTTATTTATTTTATTTTTTGACATTATAGTACAATAATATAATTTCCCCTTTCCAGTTCCTCTCTCCAAACCCTCAACCTCTTTTTATTAACTGTGGTTAGGTAAGATACATATGTTATATAAATATGTATGTGCACATATTATGTGTGTATATATATTCCTAAATATATAAGTACAATATGCTCAGTCTGTATAGTGTTACTTGTGTGTGTTTTCAAGTCTGGCAGTTTGATATTGAATACCCACTTGGTACGATCTTCCCTGAGGAAGACCATTTCTCCCACTCTCAGCATTCTTAATTGCCTTTAGTTCTTTGTATATGGTTCAGGCTTCATAAGCTTTCCTCATGTCCATTTTAGCATATCTATTGTCTTTTGTTCAGCACATGATTATGCAGTCATATTGGTGAGACTGTATGGGTGTAGCTTCTGTCATTAGTAGGAAGCACATCAAACTCTCTCCATGGGTAGTTGGCTAGATGTCCTGGAATGGGCGTGTTTTCCCTTTTGTTGAACAGGTTTTCAGTCCAACTTATGAACTTTTGGTGACTGCCACGGTATGTGTGCCATTAATACATTCATAGTTTTATCTTGCCATGCTAATAGTTGTTTGATGTTTCACAGACATCATAGTTTGGTAAGACTGTTTTATTTCTTTCCCCCTCTAGAAGATTGCCTGGTGCATGGCTTCTGGTATCATGAAAGCTAGTACTCAAGAAGGAGGCACTCGGGTTAGTTTCAGCTCAGGGCCCAAGGCCCTGTGCCTAAAATGCATGATGTCTTCAGCAATAGAGACTTATCCTACACCTCTGGCAAAGGGGGTGGTCAATCAAGGATGATAGTAATTGCCTGTAACAATTTGGGATTCTCTTATACAACCCTGATCAACAACTCAAAAGAGGGCTTTTCATGCCTGGTATTGTAAGATGGTCTTTAGCTCCCAGAGGAAACACTGTCAGCCCAGAGGAGAAATTTTCACTTAGACTATGTATGTATTTTTGTACACCAATGTACATGCATTATTTAGGTACTTTCAGATGGATAGTTAATATTATAATCCCGTAAGACTTTTTCAGACACCGGTACTATTATTTTAACCTCATGATACCTTGTGCATTTATCTCACCTCACTTATTAGAGCTCCCTTTTTTGTTTCCTCAATTAGATCACTTGTACACTGCTTTTCCTCTTCCTATTGATTTCGTACTCCTACCCAGAAAATGTTCCCTTTTGACTGCCTTGGTTTTGGCAGTTACTGCATGATATGAACTCACATCTAGGATTAGGAACCAGAAGCCACATATGATAGCAAAGATGCAATGTTTGATTTCTGGGTCAGGTCTAACTCACTCAATATGATCTTGCATAGTTAGATCTATTTATCTGTAAATTCATCATTTCAATTTCTTTGCAGTTTGAAGAGCGTGCTGTAGTTATATTCATCAAAATTTCATTATCCATTCCTCAGCTAATTTAGGTTATTTCTATTTTCTAGCTATTATGACTGGAGCAGAAATGAATATGCCTGGGTAAGTATCTGTACAGTATGATGTTGAGTTCTTTAGGCATATCTGGTATGTGGTAAAATGGTAGATTTAATTTTTGATCTCTCAGAATTTTCCACACTGGTTTCTGGAGTGGCTGGACTAGACTGCAATCCCACCAAGAGTGAATAATGGTTCTCTTTTCCCCACATCTCCTCTATGATTAGTTGCCAAATTAACATTCTGAAAAAAAAAATGACCATTTTACCAAAAGTTATTTGTGGATTTAATGTGATCTCAGTCAAAATCTCCATTTCATTCTTCACAGAAATAGAAAAAAAAAACTATCCTAAAGTACCCTGTGTAGCTAAAACACTCCTGAACAAAAGAATAATGCTTGAGGGATTACTATTACAAATCTCAAGATATATTACAGAGCTATAGTAATAAAATCCATAAAATAGTGGAAAAAAAACAGATTAATGGAATAAAATCAAAGACCCAAAACATGAGTTCACAAAACGTCAGCCATTTAATATTTGATAAAGATGCCAAAATTGCACCCTGGAGACAATATAGCATTTTCGTTAAACGATAATGGGATGTCCTCATGCAGAATGAAATTAGACCCATATTTTGCACCTTGCACAAAAACAAACTAGATGGATCAAAGACCTAAATATGAAACCTGAAACACCAAAATTGTTGGAAAAATACATAGGCAGTACCTTAAATGATATCAGAAAAGGCTTTTGGTAGAGGACTTCGTTTGCTCAAGAATTAAGGCCAAGAATTTACAAGTGGTTTGTGCACAGCTAAAGAAACAAGCAACTGGGGGTTGGGGGATTTAGCTCAGTGGAAGAGTGCTTGCCTAGCAAGAATGAGGCCCTAGGTTCGGTCCTCAGCTCTGGGAAAAAAAAGAAAGAAGCAACTGGGTGAATAGGAAGCCAATTGAATGGGAGAAAACCTGTTCCAGTCATGCATCTGACAGAGAAGGAACATCCAGAATCTATGACCAACTAAAAGAAGTAAACACACAAAAAACACAAAGTGAAAAACACACAAAGGACCCATTCAAAATGAGTCTGAGACCTGAATGGAGAATTATCCAAAGGACAAAAAAGTGGTTAAGGTATAATCTCAAGAAAATTTCACTGTTCTTAGCAATTAGGGAAATGCAACTTAAAACAACTTTAAGATTTCATTTTACCCCAGTCAGAATAGCAAAGATCAACAAAGCAGCTGACAACAATTAGGGAATCTTTAAAATACTTTAAAGAAACAACCCAGAATTCTGTGTCTGCTGAAGGGGCAGCAATGACGAGCATATTTGGAACATGTAACAGCACTGTCACTTACCCCTGATTCAACTACATTTTGCAGTACAGGGAAGTTTGAATTTTTTTGCAAGTAATGATTCCTGAATCATTTCTAACTTTGGGATATGAATTAAGCATGAAATGCCCTGCAGACGAATAAAGTTAAAGAAAAATCAATACCTCTCCACTTATCATGTTCCAAGACTGAAAATTCAAAGTCACAGGAGGAAAGGGAAAGTAAATATTTAAGAGGTTCAAAGTGTAAACCATAAAAATAATTCTAGTTATTACTAATGTTTTATTCTTTGGTCTTTTAGTGTCAACCTGTTCTTCAATATAAAAATAATGGAACTGAGAAAATAGTAAATGGAAATGTAAGAGGAGCAATTTGCATGTTTTGCACAGTTTAGCCGTCCACTATGACAAAGTGATTGGATTTTTGCCAAAGATCATGCTGAGAAGAGCTTATGAAAAAGCTAAGGTCCTGTGTCTCAGAAGAGTTGATGGAAAGAAGGAGACTTTGTGGGAAATCCCTTGTTAATAAAGTTGACAGTGGCTACATATTCACCTTTAGACATAGATGTGTTTTCCCTTTCATTATTGCTTTTATATAAAACTGTCTTTTAGCAAATGAGTGTATGGACCAATTATGGTATTCACTAACAATGGGATACTATGGAGCCAGAAAATTTAATGAAACATTAATGTTTACTAAGATGGATGGACTTCCAAACAATCAAGTGAAGAAAGCCAGACATGTGTGCATCTAAAATGTATGGCTGGGTGGTGGTGGCACATGCCTTTAATCCCAGCACTCAGGAGAGAGAGGCAGGCAGATCTCTGTGAGTCTGAGGTCATCCTGGGCTACAGAGTGAGTTCCAGGAAAAGAGAAATTCTATAGCAAAATGTTAAGATTCTGAATACCTCGATGATAGGCACATGAGTGATTCTCATATAATTGTACCATTTTCTGTATTATTAAACATTTATGATACTAGTTTAATATGTTGAATATTTATGATAAAATAAGCCATATTTTAAATATTTAAAATAACAATGTCATGCAATGTTGTATAAAACTATGTACTTGTAACTATTTTGGAATCTAAAACAAATCAAAAGACTTTTTTTAGTTATATTTTTTGAATCTTTTGTGTTTACTAACTTGTATTTAGTAAGAATGTTATTTCAAAGTGGAGAATTCAGTTATCTAGTTAGTAAAATCAGTAAGAACTTCAGCTTTCATAAATTATAAATGGACATACAAGGAAAGGAGTTTATACTACACAAGTCCACATACGTTCAAAATAAAAATATAACTTATAGACACACCCACAAACACATTCATAATTCATTCATGGATAATTTACACATGTCTAGTAAAATTCAATAATTCTTTTTATTAAAATTCCATATATATTATCTATATATCAAATATATATATATATGATTTTTAAAGAATTCTAACCATAATAAAAAATGATGGTCTTGTTTAACACTTTCTGTATTTTATATTAACAAAACTCGATTCTCTATAAAATATAATAAAACATAATCATTTTAATAAATACAAGATTTCTGTCTATTAAAATTTTTTAAATTGTAAAGGCATTCTAAAAGCCACCCTTTTAAAACAAAAAACTATATGAGGCAAAATATTCTTTAAAATACAAAGCCACATATACAAATGAAATAAAAACCAATGATATAACAAACCAACTATCCCTGTGAAATTCACTTAAAATGTTTAAAAATACAAATTATAAAGTAATATTGGAACAATACAGAGAAGATTAGCATGGTCCCTGCACAATGATGACACAAAAAAGACTTAAAAGACCTCAACCAACAAAGAAGTTGATAAAATACCCTAAGGGTTAAAACACATTTTTCTTTTTCTTTTTTGAGACATGGTTTCCCTGTGTAGCTTTGGTGCCTGTCCTGGATTTTGCTCTGGAGACCAGGTTGGCCTTGAACTCACAGAGATCCTCCTGGCTCTGTCTCCTGAGTACTGGGATTAAAGGTGTGCGCCACCACAGGCCAGCCTTTAAAACACATTTTTCTTTTTTTTTTTCCTTCTTTTTATTTTTTAATTTTTAATTTTTATTTTGCAATACAATTCAGTTCTACATATCAGCCATGGATTCCCTTGTTCTCCCCCCTCCGGCCCCCCTCAACTTCCCCCAAACCCACCCCCCATTCCCACCTTCTCCAGGTCAAAGCCTTCCCCGAGGACTGAGATCAACCTGGTAGACTCAGTTCAGGTAGGTCCAGTCCCCTCCTCCCAGGCCGAGCCAAACAATCCTGCATAGGCCCCAGGTTTCAAACAACCAACTCATGCAATGAGCACAGGACCTGGTCCCACTGCCTGGATGCCTCCCAAACAGATCAAGCCAAGTAACTGTCTCACCCATTCAGAGGGCCTGATCCAGTTGGGGACCCCTCAGCCATTGGTTCATAGTTCATGTGTTTCCATTCGTTTGGCTATTTGTCCCTGAAAACACATTTTTCTAATAAACATATTTCTTCTCCTTCATGAGAGAGCTCATGTTGGACCGAATGCTTGCCTGCTTCCTGGCAGCCTAGGGATGACTATTTCTCCATGCCTGCCCAACTACAATAATCTGCCTTGTGATCCCAATTGTTGAACACATGTACTGTCTACTAGAATTTCTAAGCTCCAAAGTCAGAGCTGCTTCCTAGATATGCATCTTCTGTAGCTCTTGGCTACTCATAGCTGCACATTTTATTTAGATTTTCAAGAAAAAGAGAAATTGGAAAATTATGTAAGAATTAGGATGCATTCAATTTTGACTTCAGATTGGGATTACAATGTTTGTAAAAAACATATATTGTTAGTTTTCATGTCAGAAAGGAGATCTTTCTATGCAACTTGAACATGTTGGTGAGATTGAAGGAGGGAAGTGCTTTTGTGTGTATGTGTGTGTGTGTGTGTGTGTATGTGTGTGTGTGTGTGTGTGTGTGTGTGTACATATGTGTGTGTTTTCCTTGCCTATTCAGTTCAATACATCCTCCCTAGTCTTTGTTGACAAGCCATTCTGATGATTTTACTGTGTTCTTTTTTTTCTTGGAGATCAGAGTCTTTTAGAGTCAGAGAAGAAGATGATTCTAATGAGCTCTTTTTAAACTCACATTTATTCTTTGCCCACATATATTAGTTGTAGTAATAATGAGTTTCACTAGGACATTTTCACATACATACGTAGTATAAAATTCATATTTTCCTCTTTCCATCTCTTGTCTTCTTCCACTCTCATTGATCCCCACTTCTTCCTTTTTTCTGGTAAAACTGATCAGATATGAGTCTCTGCAGTTATGACTGTGCACCATTATAGGAGCTTTTCTGAAAAAAAGCTGACAGCAGCACCAGTGTGCAGGTCCAAACTTAGTTTGTTAGAAGGCAATTTGATGGCAATTTCTCCTCTTTTATGATCTCCCTTCTAATAAAATACCTAAAACAGTTATCTAGGAAAAGTTAAACATAAAGGGAAAAGATGCAGACTTGGGGAAAGTAGACATGTACAACAATGTTTTTTGGGTGTAACTAGGTGAGTCTTTGATATTTGAAATTTTAATATCAAATATCTTACAAACCCATGCCTTGCAACATTATAGTATGTTTAACAAAATTATAATCACAGAAATAGGCAAAGTATATGTAGGAAATTTCTATCCCCTTGTATTTGTGGGATTCTGGCTCTTCTCATGCAGGGCAGTTTCCCAAGGATATAGGAATGGATGTACTAGGAAACCCATACACATAGGTAAATGAGTGTGTTTGCAGCTATGTTATGCTTATGAAATTTCTTCATTAGGAAATTTTGCCAGATTCAACATGTCTTTCCCATATGGAAAATATACATAATTCATGGAACTAGCTGACTCATGGTACATATTAGTTATATATTAGAAAACTGGGAAGTGATTGTATTTATAGCCATGTTGAAACTGTATGGAATAAAGAATTCTTGCTTATTCTTTTGGATGAAGGAACATTCATTTATCAACTTCTCTTCTTACTTTTTTTCCCCTTCTTCCTTCTTTATCTGACCTGATGTTTTATCCAGACAGTGTGATTCTGAATCTGGCCCCTTTTGCAACATTAAGTACTTCATGAATGTCAAGAAAAAGAAAAACTTGTCTTTTGGAAAGCAAAATGAATAAGAAATATGATTAGTAAAGACAGAGAATAAAAGCTTTTGAAAATAAAAATTGTCAGAAGTGAATTTACTAAATTTCAGCTAAAGTTGTACATGTTCATGAAACTATATAACTATGTGTAGTAAATACATTGATGATGAACATCTAAGAGTTTCAGAAATCATGTTAATGGTGTAAGATGTTCATTTTACAACATACGTTAAAACATGAGAGAAACAGTGTGTAAGCAGATTTTGTCCACATTAAGTACAAATATTTTCATCACAAATATAAAGACAACAATTATTCCATTTTTGTTATTCTGATGACCTCTCTTACAATGACTCAAGTGGGTTACCAAAAATCCATCCCATAACACATGTCATCCCAGCTCATAGCCTATCCCACAGGCCCTGGCCTCAAGCCAGCAAACTTCCACTGCTTAGGTGCAGACCACAATAGAGAGAAGAACAAGACCAGTTGCTGCACCAAAGGCCAGAGGGCCAGTTCCCAACATTGACAGAGACTCCATAATAGACCAGAGGTCATGTTGGCCACCAGAAATCCAGGCCACAAAGACTAGAAAACAAAAGAGGAAACAGAAACCAAGAAAGAAAACACCCATCCAACAATGACAAACTTAGAAACCAGTACCTAGAGCTAATCATCTGAAACTGAGAGACCTAAACACTAATGTAAGAATTAATGGACAACATCCAGGATAGTATGGAACCACCAGAACCCAGCTATCCTATGACAGCAATATCTGATTATTCCAACACAGCTGAAGCACAGGAGAGTGACCTTAAATACAACTTTATAAAGATGATAGAGGTCCTCAAAGAGGAAAGGAAAAGATTCCTTTAGAAAAATGAGGAAAAGACAACCAAACAATTGGAGGAAATCAATAAATTGCTTAAAGAATGCCAAGAAAGCTGAGAAAAATAAACAAACATACAATTAAACAAAATACAGGTGTAGGTAACTATTCAAGACCAGAAAATCAAAATAGACACAATAAAGAAAACAGACTGAGGGAATTCAGAAAATGGAAAATCTGAGTAACCAATGGGAACTACAGATGCAAGTATCACCAACAGAATACAAGAGATGGAAGAGAGAATCTCAGGCATGGAAGATACAACAGACAAAATAGATTTATAGGTCAAAGAAAATGTTAAGTGTAAAATCTTTTAAAACATTTCTTAATTGGACTGTTGGATATTTTGATGTCTAATTTCTTGAGCTCCTTATATATTCTGGATATCAGTCCTCTGTCAGATGTGGGGTTGGTGAAGATCTTTTCCCATTCTGTAGGCTGTCGCTTTGCCTTGTTGACCGTATCCTTTGCTCTACAAAAGCTTCTCAGTTTCAAGAGGTCCCATTGATTGATTGTTTCTCTCAGTGTCTGTGCTACTGGTGTTCTATTTAGGAAGTGGTCTCCTATGCCAATGTGTTCAAGACTACCTACTTTCTCTTCTAGCAGGTTCAGAGTAGTTGAATCTAAGTTGAGGTCCTTGATCCACTTGGACTTAAGTTTTGTGCACGGTGATAGATATGGATCTATTTGCAGCCTTCTACATGTTGATATCCAGTTATGCCAGCACCATTTGTTGAAGATGCTTTCTTTTTTCCATTGTGCACTTTTGGCTTCTTCGTCAAAAATTTTATGTTCATAGGCGTGCGGATTCATGTCAGGGTCTTCAATTCGATTCCATTAGTCCACATGTCGGTTTTTATGCCAGTACCAAGCTGTTTTTATTACTGTAGTTCTATAGTAGAGCTTGAAGTCAGGGATCGTGATGCCTCCAGAGATTGTGTTATTGTACAGGATTCTTTTGGCTATCCTGGGTTTTTTGTTTTTCCATATGAAGTTGAGTATTATTCTTTCCAGGTCTGTGAAGGATTGTGTTGGTATTTTGATGGGGATTGCATTGAATCTGTAGATTGCTTTTGGTAAGATTGCCATTTTTACTATGCTAGTCCTGCCAATCCATGAGCATGGGAGATCTTTCCATTTTCTGATATCTTCTTCAATTTCTTTTTTCAGGGACTTAAAGTTCTTGTCATATAGGTCCTTCACTTGCTTGGTTAATTAGACATCAAAATGCCCAACAGTCCAATTAAGAAATGGGCTATAGAGCTAAACAGAGAATTCTCAACAGAGGAAACTCAAATGGCTGAAAGACATTTAAGGAATTGCTCAACATCCCTAATCATCAGGGAAATGCAAATCAAAACAACTCTGAGATACCACCTTAAGCCTGTCAGAATGGCTAAGATCAAAAACACTAAAAACACCTTATGCTGGAGAGGATATGGAGCTAGAGGAACTCTCCTCCACTGCTGGTGGGAATGCAAGCTTGTACAACCACTTTGGAAATCAATATGGCGCTTTCTTAGAAAATTGGGAATCCATCTCCCCCAAGATCCAGCTATACCACTCTTGGGCATATACCCAAGGAATGCTCAACCACACCACAAGAGCACTTGTTCAGCTATGTTCATATCAGCATTGTTTGTAATAGCCAGAACATGGAAACATCCTAGATGCCCTTCAACTGAAGAATGGATAAACAAAATGTGGTACATATACACAATGGAATACTACTCAGCAGAGAAAAACAATGACATCATGAGTTTTGCAGACAAATGGATGGATCTAGAAAAAATCATCCTGAGTGAGGTA